TGCACGAGGATTGTTACGAAAATATTCTAATATTTCCTCATTCCGCCTATTTATTCGATGTTCCGGCCTTCTGTTTTTAGTAAGTATTTTTGACACACAACCAGTTTCATTAAAAACTCTATTTATTCGTTGAACCGTGCTTCTACTTACTGCAGGTCTGTCGGGATGCCTGTTGTTAAATTCTCTGGCAGCTTCTCCTGCTTGAAGATAGTTATCACCCACTAAACGAATAATTTCAATTTTATCCCTAATATTTAATTGTTCCATAATGCAGATAATATTTCTTGATACAACACTTTTCTGCGTGCTATTAAATTAATATTCAATTCTACGCTGCAGAATTGACAGCTAATAAAACCCATTGTTGTGGATTGTTTTTTTCAAGGGTTACGTGATAACTCATCGTTAAATTGGCAAAAATAGGGAATTATTTAATTCAACTGCAGAATTATTAATAATTAATATTTTTTAAACGAAATTTGGTACAGAACTGTTTTGGGGGATGCCGAATGTAGGGGTGTACTCAAATTTTTGAAAAAAATCGCTAATATGATTTTGCAAATTTTCACCACAAAAACTTTATTAAGTAGGCCTTGTTTTTTTGTGAAATAACATGACATTGAGCCCTAAAGTACATTTTTGAAACTTTATATTTGAAAAAAAAAATCATCAAAATCGGACTATAAACACAGATTTTATGGAGGGTGCCCGGTCTTGAGTGGGTCACACTGTATATATGTATATATATATATATATATATATATATATATATATATATATATATATATATATATATATATCTGTTGATATAGAAGAAGTTTTGCTTGCTGTATCGGTGAGAGCCAGCCCCTGGACAGCCCACCTGATGAAGGGTAGGCCCAGAAACCGGTTGTGGGGAGTGGGCTTGGTTCCCCCCTTTACGACAAAGCAAAACAATTTTCTTTTTTACTTTTTATTTTTTTAATTTTTTCTCCACTTTCGATTTTTCGAAATTAGAGAAAATACACAGCTAAAAGGCAAGAAAATATTATTTATTATTTATATATATATATAATATATATATATATATATATATATATATATATATATATATATATATATATATATAAGTAATGAAAATAATATATATATATATATATATATATATATATAATATATATATATTTAATATATATATATATAAATATATATATATATATATATATATATATATATATATATATATATATATATATATATATATATATATATATATATATATATATATATATATATATATATATATATATAAATAAATGTGTTTATAATAAACATCGTTGTTTTTTTTTATCTTTTCTTATAAAATATATTTCACAAGGCTAGGCTTGGCTCGCACTATGAGTAACAGCGAAAAACATCCTTATCGCAATATTTACTGATAAAACCCGACCCTCGTAACCTCTCGTACACAATAATAACTTATCACAATATTTCGAGATAACCTTTAACCTATCAAAGTTCTTCACCAAACTGCTCTGACGTCACACAATTTACATTTACCTGCTACCTACCTAAACCACAACAATTAAGGCCCTCTTCAACAGCCTCTGGTAAATTTACAAGAACCCACAGGTACGCACGCAAAAAAAAAACATGTGAAAATCTTTGGTAACCTTCTTGGCCATCCGACTGTCGCAGTCCCGTATTAGTTTAACTACTAACGCATAGTAACGACTGCAGTTACTTTGTTTGGCTAGTATCATAACTTCGTTATTTATTATCCGATTGAAGAAATTTTAATACCAAAATGTCCGAAAGAACGCAGTAAGTGCCATTAATGTAAAAAATATTTTTTAAAAAAATGTCATTTACTTTGTTTTTATTTTGGACAGCCGAGCTGATAACGTAATAAGTGTACCATCATTTGTTGATTTGGGTAGATGTAGTTAAGTCTATGATAGTTATTATATTTGTTATGGGGTCTATCCTATATAATAAATAAATAAATAAATATGTTTGTGTCATTTTACCACAATTATAAATTTATACAAGGAACTTGATTCGTATTTAATAACTATAAGCTTAGTATAGAGCGAAACTATCAGTTCAATATTATTTTTATAACATAATATAGTAAAGAAAGATTTGATAATGTAGGTAATAAGAAAAAGACTTATAATACCTTTTAAATTACATTTCATTATACCATAAATATACCTAGAAAATATCAATATAAGAAAAATACAAAATAGGTACAGTAGATATAATTCAAAAAATTTATGATCAGTCATGCTTTGTGTAATGACAGAGACACAATTGTTATGGAAAATTACATTAAAAAGAAAAAAAATATCAAACATTTCAATATACAGGGTGTTTCAAAAAACATGTGCCATCACTCGTGGGGAGACTCCACACGTAAAAATAAGATTTATTTTTTATATCAACTACTTTGTTTCGTAGCTACAGGGTGTTAAAGTCTCAATATTTTTTTTTCGATTTATTTTTATTTATCCTTCCAAGTACTTTCAGCGTTTTGAATGAAATTTTGAGGGTAAAAGTTACTATAAATGCGACATATTTTAAACACAAGTTTTAAAGCTAAAAAAGTGTCGACATATTCACCAGGGACGTGCATATATATGGGACATGGGTTATCACTGAAATGATTTTCTAAAAAATCATGTACGCCTCTGACTTTTTCTTCTTTTGTTAGCGAAATAGTGTAAGCAGTTTAATGCCGATTAAAAGTTGTCTCTTGATATTTTGTCCATTTCGATGAGTCATCCTTGATGAGATAAACACAATTTTATTAATTTGCCTTGCCAAGTCTAATAACAATCTTTGTTAATTGTATTTTCATTTTAATTTTATTAATAGTGATTAATAAAATTGCGTTTATCTCATCAAGGAGGCCGAATTCGACAAAATATCAAGAAATAGCTTTGAATCTGCATTAAACGGCCTACAAGTTTGATATCAATTTTGATAACAAGTTTGATATCAAAACAAATAAAATCAGTGGCGCACATGTTTTTTTTTGAAAAATATTCCAGTGATAACCCATATGCACGTACCTGATGAATTTATCGACACTTTTTTAGCATTAAAATATTATGTAGCACTTATAGTAACTTTTACCCTCAAAATTTGATTCGAATCGCTATAAGTACGTGAAAGAAAATTATAATAAATCGAAAGATTATTAAGACTTTAACACTCTGTAGCTACGAAACAAGGCAGAATCAGACCTATGTTGATATGAAAATAAATCTTATTTTTACATGATGAATCTTCCCACTAGAGACGGCACATGTTTTTTAAAACACCCTGTACAACCAATACCAATAGGTGTATAACTCGTAAGAGATAATAACAATAAACTAAACAGTTGATTTTAATAATTACGTTTTATTAATTATTAAACAAGCCATGTGTTACAAGTTTATAACTTACAATGAACTGTGAACTGTCTAATGTCGTCGTTTTCGGCATTGACAGTATGGCATAACCGAAATTTATTAAATTTCTAAGCTACGAGATTAGGCAACTATACATACAGGTATATCGTGGGTTGCTCACTATACAGGGTCCGGCAATAGTGCGTCGGGCATCTGTAGCTCCTAGAATAAAAAACTTGAGAATTTTGTTTAAGTGCGAACCTAAAGTATGTGCCAGGATGTATTTCAAGAAAATATTTTAACTTCTATAGGGTGGCTCAAAAAAGTGTGAGTGGACCTTGATGATTTTTTTTAAATGGAATACCCTGTATATTATTGCATTTTTGGCTTCCTTTCAGATCACTTTACATAACCCTAAGATATGAATAAATATATTTTGATAGTTTCCGAGATATTAAAAAATAAATAAAAAATATGTATTTTTCAGCCCTTCTTAAAAAAATTATTAAAAATACAAGAACTGTCCTGAAATCAAAACTATATTAGGTATTTACTTTAGATGGTCTGTATTTACTTTGCTATAAATATGAAAATCGTAAATTACACAGAATGTTCAAAATTCTGCGCCAAACTTTCTAAAATATAAAATAATTTTTCCTTGTTTTTTTAACTGGAACACTTTGTATATTATTTTTTCAATAGACGGAGACTTAAAAAATGAACATTTTTTGTATTTAAAGTATTTCAAAATTTTTAACGGTTTTGCAGATATTTGCGGTTTTATATTTCATATGGCATTTTCCACAGTAAATTTTTATCAAAGCCACCCAATGATTTTTCTCTCGTATTTTACCATTGAAAGCGCCATATGAAATAATACTGCGCGTATCTACGAAACCGTTCAAAATTTTGAAATACTCTAAATACAAAAAATGTTTATTTTTTAACTATCCATCTAATAAAAAAATAATATACAGGGTGTTCCATTTAAAATAACAAAGAAAAATTATTTTATATTTTAGAAAGTTTGGCATAGAATATTGAACATCCTGTATGATATACGATTACTATATTTATAACAATGTAAGAACAGACTATCTAAAGTAAATACCTAATATAATTTTGATTTCAGAACAGTTCTTGTATTTTTAATAATTTTTTTAAAAAGGGCTGAAAAATACATATTTTTTATTTATTTTTTAATATCTCTGAAACTATCAAAATATATTTATTCATATCTTAGGGTTATGTAAAGTGATCTGAAAGGTAGCCAACAATGCAATAATACACAGGGTATTCCATTTAAAAAAAGTCATCAAGGTCCACTCACACTTTTTTGAGCCACCCTATAGAAGTTAAAATATTTTCTTGAAATACATCCTGGCACATACTTTAGGTTCGCACTTGCCGGACCCTGTATAATACTTTGAATATAAATATAATACCATATTATACATCTCCCCTTACAAGTTTAATTTTTTTGGTTTTTTAACTACACGTCCATATCTAGAGGTTTGAACTCTTGTATTATTAGTCAATAATGGTGATTCCAATTTTAGCAAGGGGGCATGCATTTCTGGTGTCTTATACTTAGAATCATCTAGCTCAGAATGACTATTTTTAGGTATAAGTTAAAGGGGTAACATCACTGTCAGTAGAATTAGAATTATCAGTTTCAGACTCAAATGAATTATCAGTTAACTTAAAAGGGTTTTCTGATGGTTTAATATCAATGCGGTTTCTTCTGATAGTGTTGCCTCTACAGTCTTGTAATACATATGATCTAGGACTATCATGTAACTTTTCAATCTTTGCCGGTTCCCAAACATTATTTCTGTTATTTAATACAGTAACATTGCAGCCCTTGTTAAGTGGTTTTAGACTTTTAGCATTTTTATTATAGTGTTGTTCATTAATTTTACGTTTAGCAAGTATTTTTTCTTTTACATTTACACACAACATAGGCTGTAATAAATCACATGCAATTGGAACTTTAGTCTTACAATTTCTGCTATTTAACAGCTATGATGGTGAATAGCCCATCCCTTTTAATGCACAATTCCTATAATTTAATAGAGCAGAACATAAATCACCTATTCCTTCCTCCAATGATTTTTTAAGAAGGTTTTTTGCGATTGCTACAGCTTTTTCAGCCAATCCATTTGATTGTGGATATTCTGGGCTTCGAGTGACAAGAGTAAAGTTCCAATTCTTAGCAAATTCTAAGAATTTTACACTATTATAAGGTACATTATCAGTGACAAGAATATCAGGGGCTGCAAACCTGGCAAAAACAGGTTTCATTTGAGCAATAATAGCCTCAGCACTTTTATTTCTTATAGGCAAAATCTCAAGCCAGTTTGAATAAGCATCGAACAAAACACAATAACTTTGATCAGCATATGTGAAAATATCCGAACCAACACGTTCCCATGGCCTTTCAAGTATTGGGTATTGTAAAAGTGTTTGCTTAGGATTTTTTCTAGAAAATTTTTCACAAATTTTACAGTTTTTCACATACGATTCAATATCTACTGTAATACCAGGCCAATAAAATGCTTTTCTGGCGTGCGATTTTGTCTTTTCAATTCCTAGGTGGCCTTCATGTAAAAGTTTAACTTTAGGTCTATAGCAAATATGTAAATTATATTTTAAAAGCTTAAGTCTCATTCTTAAGATTCTTGGGAAGCAGACTGTAATTCTTTTTTGAAAATTGATTCCAAAGGTTTGTGGTCGCTGTAAATTTTAGTAGGCATGCCATAAATAAAGTAATGAAACTTTTTTATAGCAAATACAATAGCCAATGCTTCTTTTTCTATCTGAGCATATGTTTGCTCAGTTTTGGTTAAACTGCGCGATGCAAAGGCTACTGGTTTGCCTTCTTGTAAAAGACAAGCACTCAACCCATCTTTAGAGGCGTCTGTCTCTATTTCAATGGGGATTTTTGAGTTAAAATATGTCAAAACAGGGGAATTGGTTAATAAATGTAGTAAATTATTAAAAGAATTTTTGCATTCTTCAGTCCACTCAAACTCAATATCATTTCTTGTTAAATTTCTTAAGGGTGCAGTTATTTTAGAAAGATTTGGTATAAACTTGCCTATGTATTTGACCATGCCTAAAAATCTTAAAACATCTGCCTTACACTCAGGCACAGGCATTTTTAAAATGGCTTCTACATATTTTTTATTAGTTTCAACACCTTTATGTGAAAAGATTTGGCCCATAAACTTAACACTTTCTTTTTTGAACTGAATTTTTTCTTTGTTAAATTTAAGGTTATGTTTAGTAGCCTTTTCTAATACACATCTCAGGTTCTGGTCATGTTCAGCCTCGGTGGCACCTGTAACAATCAAATCGTCAAAATACAGTCCTACTCCAGGTATATCTCCAAATATTTCAAAATTTTTCTTTTGAAAAACCTCAGGGGCTGAACATATACCGAACGCTAGTCTCTTAAATCTAAAACGACCAAATGGTGTACCAAAAGTCATAAGATCTGCACTTGGGCTATCCAACTCAACTTGCCAGTACCCATCCTTCATGTCTAGGACAGTAAAAAATTTTTTGTTTGTCAGTTTAACAGCAATATCATCACATGATGGAATGAGGAAGTGTTCTCGTTGTATAGCTTGGTTCAGATCTTTTGGATCTAAACAGAGACGAAGGTCACCGTTTGGTTTTTCAACAATAACCAGAGGGTGTACCCACTCTGTAGGTTTATCTACTTTTTCAATGATATCCTTGGACACAAGATCATATAACTTTTTTTTCAGAGGTTCTAGTAAAATATTAGGCACTCTCCTAATAGCATTTATTTTTGGTTTTGCATTTTGTTTTAATGTTATATGATGTTGTGTAGGAAATTTTCCTAACCCTTCAAAAACATTTGCATATTGACTAACTACATCATCTAACGTTTTAAAAACACTTGGTTTATTTAAAGAGTCTACTCGTTTAATCAGTTTTAATTTTAAACATTCTTGCAACCCTAACAGAGGAATTTTACTTTGGGCACTAACTACAACAAAAGGAACTTTTTCTACACACTCTTTCACTTTGCACTCTAGCACTACTTCACCAAAACATTGTAGTTTAAAATTTGGGTCACCGTAAACATCAATGTAACATTTGTCTTGCGTATAGGCAATCTTGGGGCAATTTTCTTTAAAACATTTAAAGGTAGTGTGCTTACCTCTGCTCCCGTGTCTAGCTTGAATGTTATAGGCTTACCCTTGATCCATATTTCCTTTGTCCACATAGTTTCTGTGTTATTTTTACTTCTGCCACTTGAGTTGATTGCACTTATGTAAAACTCATGGTCACTTTCTTCAGTTGACTCGGAACTTGACTCTTTGTCTACACAATTAACTTTCTTCTTATAGACTTTATTTCTATGACTGTCATTTCTTTCACTTTTATTTGGACACACCTTGGCAAAATGGTCACGACCTTGGCATTTTGCACAGGTTTTTCCGGCAGCAGGGCACTTATTTCCAAACTTATGTTTATAACCACAACTCTTGCAAGGCTTATTTGGGTCTTTATCACAGACTGGTTTATTAAAAGTTCTGGACTCGGTTCTGGATGTACTAGCTCTTACAGCATTTAGTCTTGATTCATTATCTAATGTCTTCACTTGGTCTTTACTAGTTTCTGTGGCTCTACAAACATCTATTGCCTTCGTCAGCTCGGTCAAGAAGCTATCGAAAGTTTGACCTTCTTTTTGTACAATCGTATTAAATTTTGCCCTTTCAAAAATTACATTTTTCTGCGGAGCACAATGATCTTCAAACTTCTTTTTTATTTCTGCCAAAATCTTATCTTTACCTGCCTCACACGAAAAACTATTAAATAAGTCTAGACCATCGTCACCAATTAAGGACAAAAAGCAAGCAATTTGTTTTCCTTCTTCCTTGGTATCTAGTCCGGTGGCCTTTGAAAACAAGTCAAACTTTTGAGAAAATCTCTTCCAGCTCTCTGAGATATTCCCGTCTAGCAAGAGCGGCTCTGGAGGTTTAAAATAGTTATCCATTTCTTAAATTTTCTGTTTACAAGCGGCACATACAACAAGCAATGAGCTCAACAGAAAAAACCAGTCGAAAAATTACTATTTTTCACACACTCGATGCGATACATAGGTTCACTAGCAACCTGACACCATGTATAACTCGTAAGAGATAATAACAATAAACTAAACATTTGATTTTAATAATTACGTTTTATTAATTATTAAACAAGCCATGTGTTACAAGTTTATAACTTACAATGAACTGTGAACTGTCTAATGTCGTCATTTTCGGCATTGACCGTATGACATAACAGAAATTTATTAAATTTCTAAGCTAAGAGATTAGGCAACTATACATACAGGTGTATTGTGGGTTGCCCACTATATAATACTTTGAATATAAATATAATACCATATTATACAATAGGTACTATTATTTTTGTGCTTGGATTTTTATAAATTTTTCTAATAGATTATTTCTCTTGTCTTCTATATCGTTATTTTTATTCACTGCTACCTTAAATTAATTCTCTTAACTCATTTAATTTGGCTTCCTCTAATTTTAAAAATTTGTTTTTGAATTCATATGTTCTATTCTGTTCTAATTTTCTTTTTGGAGTGTCACTGTTATTGGTCATTGATGAAGATGGAGTAGGTGATCTGAATATAGCTGAAGTTGATGAACTGGTTGTACAAGGAGTAGATGGATGAGTTGGTGTGTTATTTAAATCTATAAAGAAAGTTTAACTTCAATTAATGAATGAGATACATATTGAAGATACATTGAAACATAAAGGTAGAAGTGCCAACTTGTCATATAGAAAATACAAGAATGATATAAGAATAAAGAAAATATTATAAGGATGATATAATATATATTTCTTGTATTTTCCATATGACAAGTTGGTATATATTATATAGATCATGAAATAGGATGAATATTAGATTCACACCGACCTGTTACACTTGATACCTTTGAACTAATTGTTTGTCCAAAATTAATTGTTTTATCATCTTTGAATATATTTTGAAATTCTTCAAAGTAGGGCCATAAAATTTGACCTCTTCCTGTAGATTTCTTACTATTATTGTCTAAAATTGTTTTGAAAGTCTTTTTCAGATTTTTAAATTTATTGTCCAATAAACCTTCCGAGACTGTGTACCCCTTCTTAGCAAAAACTTTTTTGATTTCTAGCCATAATAATATTTTTTTAATTTTTGGATCCCTAAATTTCTCTTTTCTAATTTCATACGCAGATAGCAGTAGTTTTATGGATGCACTCCAATTTACAGTAGAGTTATCATTTTCATCATTAACCTAAGCTAAACCTAGAATAAAAAAAAACTAAACCTAGAATAAAACTCTTAATTTTAAATTAATAAAATATATACAACAGACCTTCTGTTGGTAGCGAAACCTTTTCCTCATGAGTTGTATCATCCACATTAATTATCCCTAAATTGCTTGAATTTTCTGTAAAATACTGAATTGCAAATTCAGCTGAAATCTGAACACACATTTTCACTTACCATTACTTTCTAGCAGATCATGCGTTTCTGCATCTTCAAAGATATTGTAAATAATATTATTGAAAGCATATGAACAAGAAAATTTATTATAGTTATCCATTATCTGTTAAAAAATATTCAATATTCATGCAAGTACAACCAGACAATCCGCGGTATAATCAGATAAGCAATTGTCAGACTAAAATGAGGAAACTTATGAGGAAACAATTATTTTCTTAACACCCACATTTAACAGAATTTTAAAATTTTAACCTTGTAAGCACAGCGTTGAATCCTGTGAAGCACACACAGAGA